GCCTTTGCCACTAAGTTTTCCAGTAGAAGGTTGATTAGGAAAACTACTACCGAATTGATGCGAGTTAAACAGAGGGACGGAGAGTCTCTAAAGAACTACATGAGCAGGTTCAACGATGTGGTGTTGGAGGTTAATTCCTTCGACCAAGCTGTGGGCATTGCAGCTGTAATCTCTGGTCTCAAACATGACAGGTTTCGAGATAGTTTGATCAAACATGCTGCCACCATCTTTAGCGAGGTAAACGACAGATCTCTGAAATTCATAACTGCTGAGGAATACGCCCTGGCGCAAAACCCACCTTCCTCTAAGAACCAAAACCCAGAATGGAAAGATGACAATACGAGCCGGAAAAGGATGAGAATGGCGCAGAACCGAGGTCCGATGTTGACTTCCCCAACGAGATTCGGAAGGACGAACTCAACACCTCCGCAACAATATGCAGGTAAACCTCTAGTTAATTGGACTCCCTTTAATCTGCCAAGGTCACAAATTTTTATGCAGATCAAGAATAAAATGGATTTAAGGCGTCCTGGCCCGATGAAAACAACTGCTGCTAGTCGAGACCACACCATATATTGTGATTTTCATCAAGATCAAGGCCATACTACAAAGTAGTGCAACAGTTTAAAGTCCGAACTGGAAAGTTTAGCTCAAAAGGGAATGCTAAATGAGTATGTTCAGAGAGCTGAACAGCCGAGGTTTACCAGAGAACAGAGGCCGCAACCTCAAGGAGTCCGCAATCCCCCAAATAGGCAAGGTGTAGGATATCAGCAAGCCCCACCTCCACTCCCACCACCAGCTAGAATCATACATATGATTACGGGAGGCCTTGAAGCAGGTGGACTGAGCTCTAAGCAACAAAAGCTGTATGTCAGGGAGGTTAAACATCAAAACCGAGCTTAGAAGCGGAAGATTGACGATGCTGAGTGGAAAAATCAGCCCATTACTTTCACGTCTGCTGATCTCGATACAGTTGTCACACCCCATAATGATCCCTTGGTCACTTCTGTCATGATTAACAACTGTGAAGTACAGCGTGTCCTTGTTGACACCGGGAGTGCACCAGACATCATGTACTTCCACTGTTTCGAGAGTCTGGGACTGGATCCAGCATTGTTGCAGAAATATGATGGTCCTATCTATGGTTTCAACAACCAACCTGTTCCGGTAGAAGGAGTTCTTACCCTCCATGTGGCTTTTAGGAGCGGCAGGACCTATGTGACCCCGTCGGTCCGGTTCCTTGCAGTAAAGATGGCGTCCTCTTTCAACATTGTTATTGGCCGACCCACACTGACTGAAATCCGAGATGTAGTTTCCCAATCTCACCTCTGCATGAAGTTCCCAACTCCTATGGGAATAGCAATACTGCGAGGAAACCAGGAAGTGGCCAGGCATTGTTATATCACCTCGGTAACACAACCCATGAAGGGCAAAGCTCAGACACCCGAGACCATTCCTCAGCAAATTCCTAATAATCAGCAAGTTATGGGTGTTGAGATCATAGATAATCGACCGGAAGATGAAACCAGAGCTGCTCCGGTCGAAGATGTTGAAGAAGTGCTCATTGATGACAGAGATCCGAGCCGAAAGACGCAGATCGGAACTAGATTGAACCCAGAGGAAAGGGCAGAGCTAATAGCTTTTCTCCGAGCTAATAATGATGTATTCGCATGGACTTCGGCAGATATGCCAGGAATTCCAAATTCAGTCTCTCAACATAAGCTCAGCACCAATCCATTGAAGAAACCAGTGGCCCAGAAGCAGTGTCTCTTTGGGGGTGAGAGGCTTCAGGCTATTAAAGACGAGGTAGAGAAGCTCCTACAGGCTGGTTTTATCAGGAAAGTTGATTACTGTGAATGGGTGGCTAACCCAGTTCTGGTGAAGAAGGCAAATGGCAAATGGC